AGGGGAGTGGAGTTTGCAGGAGATCATTAGTTCGCTTCATTGGTTCGTGACTCTCGGAGACTCCTTGCCAAGTTCTGCAGATTTTGGCCTGGCATCTCTCCAAGCCCGATAAGGTCTGTGACTGTAAATCCTCCTTTGAAGGACTTTGCTGGATGTGAATGAGCAGAATTCACAGTCAATTAATAAAAAGGGTTTTTTTGCGTCTGCTTCATGGTTTGGGGAATCCTAGGTCAAAACACCTGGATTCTCTATTTTCAGTAGCTACTCCTACTTTGTCAATAAGATCGAATAGGCCATGCTAAGTTTGAGGTTTCTTCTCTGAGGGACTCAGAACCTAAAGGCTCAAGCCTTGATAGGGGCCTCCTCTATGATGGTTTATTTTAAAGAATCAGACTGGATTCCACCTGCTCAGTTGTGTGAAAGTCCTAAAAACTGTTTTTTTTTAAAGATGACAATATAGGTTGGACACATGCTGCACATGTGTGGGGAGTAGGGTGCATGCAGGAGACCATAGGGATGGAGTGGGGTGTATGCAGAGGGCACACATGCCTTTCATTTTGGGGGTTCAGGCCCACACAGATGCATTTGTGTGTGCGCACACACACACTCCAGGAGTTCAGTCCAGAAAAGGTTAGCCATCACTTCCCTATTCCATTCCAGACAAATGGCTGTGCAATCTCTTCAAGAATAGAATAGAACAGAACAGAACAGAACAGAACATGGAGTAGAGTAGAGCAGAGCAGAGCAGAGCAGAATAGAATAGAATAGAATATGGAAAGAATATAGAATGGAATGGAATGAATATAGAATAGAATAGAATAGAATAGAATAGAATAGAAAATGGAAAAAATATAGAATGGAATGGAATGAATATAGAATGGAATGGAGCAGCCACAGAGAAGGCCCTCCCCCGAGGAAGTCGCCAGTCGACATTGGCCAGCAGATGGAATCCGGAGGAGGCCTAGTCTGTGGGATCTGATAGGTCTTAGGAAGGTAATTGGCAGGAGGCGGTCTCTCAAGTACCCAGGTCCGATACCATGTAGGGCTTTAAAAGTAAAGTTTAATTCTTTACTTGTCTTAGTAAAGACAAGTTTACTTGTCACAGCACAGCAACTTTTTAGTGAATAAAAAAACCTATGCTTTC